CAAATTTGTATGTAAGTCGGATCACTTACATTATCGGTCATATTTAGCACAAGTAAGCCAAATGTTTGCCTTAGTATACATATATATTTTACCTTTCTATGCATATAAAACACTTCCATATACAGTCATTACTCTACATTTTGTAAAAAAGTGCAAACACCACAAATATCTCTAGTTTCCCACCCAACATTAACTCTTAATACTGTTGACTGTATGTGTATTAGATTGCTCCTCCCCTCCCAGACCTTGGTCTGATGGAACAAGGCTTCTTTTCTCCTTTATTGCATTCTTATGTTCTTACTCCCCGCTCTCCTTTCACTCAGCAGCACCTCCTCTTCACACCAAGGAAATGCCAGTGGGATTTCCCTCTCCGGATGGGTAGGGCAACAAGCTCAACTTTGGAGGCCCCCCTCTCTCCCCCTTCGCTTCCTCTCTCTCTATGGGAAGGATGATTTTCCACATTAGGCTGTGGAAACTACAAGTAGTTTGCATTCATTACTATGAATCATTTGTCTTTAACTTGAATTTTCGAATTAATAGGTAATTTTACATTAATGGCAGTTCATTTATAAGTACAGATGTTCATAACTTGGACATTTGGAACCCAGGGACTGCCTGTACATGGAAATACAATGCCATCTGTCTATCGTGACGGGGAAGACTGCCGCAAGGCTTGTCAGGCCTCTGCCTGCTCAGACTTCTGTCCAGCCTCTCAGTATTTATGGGCAGCTGCAAGGCCTCTGCTGTCTCTCTGTTCTCAGGGATCTCAATCTTTAAAGAGGACTCAGACTAAATAGCACTTCAAATAAAAATCTGCCCTCTGTAAATTTGCTGCAATCCTGGAAAGGGGTCTTGTTGGATCCAGGGTGCAGATCCACAGAATACTGTGCAACAAAAAAACGCAGATTTGCAGATTTGCAGTCAAGGGTGTGACTGTACAAGGACACCCTTATCTGCAAAAATGGATGTAAGGACAGGGAAGAGGAGGCTGCTGGATTCAAGCAAAAACCTCAGGCCGGAAGATTCAAGGGCAGGAGGCAGCAGGAGGTGAGGTGCGTGCAGGTGAAAGCCATCTAATCCAGGGGGATCAGTTGTGACAGAGAGCATGGTAGTGCCTGAACTTTTATTTCAGCAAGTCCCCTCACACAGCAGGCTGCTCCGATAGAGTTTCCCCGCATTCTGAGGCTCCAAAGGAAAGATTTGAGACTCCGGCTGTCGTGGGCTGCCCCCAGCACTGCCTCTGCCCAGAAAGCGCATGGCACCCTTACCACGCTCCATCCATGTTATTAAGCACTTATCCGAAATGAAAGGCTAGCCTTTTGTTACAAAAGCACACTTTGGAGAGGCAACAGTACCATTTGGCTAGGGACCCTAACGCTGTGGGAAGTGTGAGCATTCCTTTGGGGGTAGGACCAAGGACCACTTGGGATGAGCAGCAGTCTGGATGCAGGGATCTGGCAGGCAAGATGCAAAAGGCCGGCGCGTTCAAAGGGCCGGATGGTGAGGGTGTGAGTGTGAATTAGAAACTGCCTGTCTCCAGCCCCTTCCCTCCCTCATTATGGGGACTTCTCAGTGAACCACATGTACCTATGCTCACTCTTAATGCTAAACCATGCCAGGTGGTTATAGCCCAGCATGGTTTCTTACCTGGTTGCTACATTCGGACAACTGCATGGTTTCCATGCTTGAGTGGTTCCAATCCTCCTTCCTCATTTCTTCTAATGGCAGCAGGTATCCCATCAGCCTCTGTGGCTGAAAATCCATCCCAGGGTGCAGTGTTCCTACTCTGCCTCCCTCTCCCTCATTGCCCCCCCCCCCACATGTCCTTAGCCAGCTACTCCCGTCAATTTCCTCCTGCTCAGTCAAAGCAACTGCTTACTCACTAGAGTAGCGTTTCCCAGCACAGAAGCATATCCACCCACACCCACACGGTTCCCTGCTCCTCCCTTGCTGTCTGTGCGGCCATGTTCCCCCATGTACAGGAGTTACACATGCTAGAAGGAGCCCCTCGCACACAGTCAGGCGTACAGAGGGATCAGCACAAGCAGGCTGTGTCCTCTTCCCACTTCCACCCACACCTGCACGGGGAGGCGGCTTGCCCTGGCTGCACTCCGAACGGCCTCCTTTGATTACCCTTCTCCACCCATCGCCATCACACCACAAGAACCACACTGCTGTTGCAACACGTGTCTTTCTAGATACCTGTTGCATCATGGCCACTTGAGGGCACAGAAAAGTTATTATTATGATTGCATTTTAATACTGCCCATAGCCAAAGCTCTCTGGGCAGTTTATAACAATAATCATAGAATCTCAAGTCACCCTCCTTAGCTTCCAAGATTAGGCAGGATCAGGTACTTCAGGCTATATGGAAGCTGGCTGTGCTAGAGGGGAAAAAAGTATGTCGGGGTCAATAAACCTTGTGGTGTCTTCCGCCCCACAGCTGTGCCCACATATTGTCCCTCATCTTCTGCTTCCCACTCCTCACTAGCTTGCTGGATGCAGATTTATTCTGCCGTTCGTTACTCCTGGCATTGCCCGCTTCCTAACGGCATGGGCATATGCCTACACTTCTACATGCAAGCTAGCTTGCAACAATGCACCAGGGGCTCTGCAAGCTGCTTGTGGGGCTGTGAGGAGGGGGAAGTCTCTGTCCCAAGGGCCCCACAACCCCTCCCAGATTTTGCTGCAGGGTGGACAGGGAGCCCCGAGAGGCACTCTAATGTGACCACTTCTGGGAAGGATGGAGGCTTTACTGGTGGAACTTCCACAGGGAGTTTCCCCAGATCCACTGGGAAATGTCGGCATGACACTTCCACGCCCCACACCTGGCATCAGCAGGTGTTGGCAGGTTGAGAGGGCTGTGGGGAGGTGCAGGCATGTCTTGCTGGCAGTGCTGCAGAATGCCGGGGAGAAGACAGCAGAGAAGCGGGCAGGAGCCAGAGCGGGGGAGATGGGCTTTTCTAAGTGACTGTCCTGTTGGCGATGCCCAACACACCGCCAATGTCCTGCTTTTGCCCAGAGGGAACTCTGAAGAGACGGGAGCAAAGCAAAGGCAGAGCAACTTACAAGCAGCGTTTCTGTGAACTACAGTAATCAGATAGGGACGCAAACATGGCTATCTCCAAGGTCACTGCTGGAGGTGGCGCCACACTGTCCTTCACTGCCAGCAACATTCCAAAGTCACAGGTGAGTGTATGGTCAGCCGTGGAGATGCCAGAGGCAGGAGGGAGCATGGCACTGCTGATTGGAGCACGGCTGGAGCTGACACATCAGTCGCTAGGCAGATCTGGACAGCAGAGGCTGTGGGCCAGAGGGTTTCCTTCAGCAGCAGCTACTCCTTCAGAACACTCTATGGTAGCAGTGTGAAAACCATGGTTCTGAGTTCACACAATTCAACAAACCATGGCGATGCATGGAAACCACTGTGCTCATGTGTCCAGTCAAAGCTTGGGTATGCTTTCACAAAGCACTCAGTGCCCGTTCTCATGAGGACTCAGATTCTGAGGCTGAAGGGGAGCTGGCCTGCCAAACGGTCCAACCTCAAGACGAGCCTCAAGGTCTTGGGACCAGGCAGGGTTGCCACAGGGAGAGATTAGCACAGGGACACCTGAGCCTCCACAGCAACCTTGCCTTGGAAAGCTGAAGAGTCACTACTCCCGTGGCAGGATGAGGAAATGGAGGCAGTCTCAGAGCAGCCTGTTGAGGCGACACCCACAGGGCAGGATGCTGAAATGCCAGTTCCTCCACCGGGGACCCCCCATGGGCATTGACTCCGTGGTTATTTATTTATTTATTTATTTAGTAAACTTCTATGTCACCCCATTCGCCAAAGCCTCGGGGCGGCTCACAGACATAAATAAACTTCGTTAAAATAATATAAATTAACAGTATAAATTAAGTCGCCCTGGCCAAAAAATAAAATAAATAAATACTATTAACAGTTAAAATGACATTTGAATATAAAGGTCTTCGCCTGGTGCTGAAAAACAAATAACGACGGCGCCAGGTGGACCTGGAGGCACCAAAGTCGGTGCAAAGCCCAACTGGGGGCTCAGAGGGAGGAACACCGATGGGCACTCTTCAGTAGTGCTCCCCACGTTCTGGTTGGCACACAGAAGGGTTCAGAAGGGAGGCTTTGGGTAATGAACAGTAGATAGGGTTCAACATTTTACTCAGTGTATGCTCAGAGGCTTTAAGTACTAGCAATAAAGCTCAATAAATAAGGAAACACTGCTGTGGCACTTGCTGCTGTTGGAGGAAGACAGGTGGATCACAACACAAACCATACAACAGATGGTTATTTCTCTGTGTGGTTACACAGAAACCAGAAGTGCCATGTGGTACGTCCCTGACTGGGTTCAGACAACATGACAAACTATTGTTATATCTGGTAACCCTCTTCCAGCCTAAGGGCCAAATTCCACTCGAGGGGCGGGGCTGAAGGCAAAAGGGGTGGAGCAAATAGGCAGAGCCACCAATGCCAACATATTTCACTTAAGGTTCTTACTACCAGTAACTAAGCCTTGACAGACTCACTTCAGCCTTTCAGAATAGGAAAAAACTACACAAAAATCAGGAAACCACCAACCAGCTGGTGGCTGGGGAAGTGGTGGGGCCCTCCGAGGAAGCCCAGTGGGCCATACTGGGAGATGGGCTGGGGTCTGGACCCAGGGCCATCAGTTCCATGCTGCTGTGTCAGGCTTTGAGTTTGACAGAGTACATAGAAAGGAGAGTAATTTTAAAATAAAGGGGCAAGTTAAACTTCTGAAGATGCTGATTCTCAGAATAATTTGTTTCAAGACCTCAGCAGTGTCTGTGTGTATACTATTGTGGGTTGTTAAATCGTCGTGTTAAGTAAAGCACCTTTGATGCCTGTGATAAGGCAGTTTACCAAACACCGCCCGCAAGCAAGGCGTGTTTGAACGCAGCTTCCTTAGCAACCATCCAGATTCCTTGCCTGCGTTTTGGAGCTTCTGCCAACCAGCCGGGTCCTTACTATGGATTTAGGAGGGGACAGCACTGCCTCCCCACTAGTGCACTTAATTCAGCAACCGGTAAGTCTTCACGCTGTGTTGGGGGCTTCAGAGTCCAGTTGTAGGACTTTTTCCTGTCTGAATCTGCATAAGATTGCAACTTAATTCTTTTATCTAAATTCTATTCCTGCTTGTAAATTAACAGCCTAATTATAGATGGGATTTTATGTTTCTGTTGAACAATTTGGAGGCCACTGAAAATTCCCTAGAGATCTACCAGTAGATGTAAATATGTCTGCTGCCGAGCCCTGCCTAAAGGGTCCTCATTAGAAGCTAACTGAACCTTTTAAGAAAAGTCCCTGAAAGAGTAGGATTGTATAGAAAAACAAAAAAGAGCTGGCTCTGCTCCTCTCTTCTGCATCAGACAGTATTCTGTGCATCAAAACTTCGGGTTCTTATCCAAGAATGAGGAATGCCAGCGCAATCCCAAAGCATCTTTCCTCTCCTGCATGCAGTGATCAGTCCCAAGCTTTCTTGCAAGGGGTTCCGGGGTGCTGTTTTTGGATCACAAACTCTTGAATGATTGCCCCTGGAAATACTGCCTCCTTAGGGGGTTTGCTTGGGTTGTTTTGTCCGGGCAATCACACTGGTGCTGGTGAAACTGGGGTGTATAGCCATTGTCACCTATGAGGCTAAGGACCAGAGCAGATCAGGGATGCAACTAAAGCTGGAACTTGGGGCCAAATCCAGTTCCCCCCAAATGAGGACCCAGAGGGCAGGAGGAGATGAAGAAAGAATCAAACACCCTTTATTTCTGATGTAATGATGGTGTAACAATTTTTATCTATCGATCTATCTATCTATCATTTATTTACTTATTTACTTATTTAAAACATTTATATGCCATCCTTTACGACAATCGTCTCAGGACAGCTTACAGCATTAAAACCAAAAATCAATAAAAGCTATCAATAATACAATAAAATTTAAGTGAGTTTAAGTGGAAAATTGGCACATGCACAGAATAGTTGTTATTTGGAGAGTTGGGGCTGGCATGTGAGGCGGTTTTGTATGGCTTTGTCTTGTTATTATTCTAATATATCAGGAAGGTAGAACCAGTTGTGGAATATGGAATGGTGGTTGAGACGGGGAAAAAGAAATGGGAATTGTGTGAAGTGATGCACATGGCCATCTCAAGCATGGTGTGGTGAGCCAGTGTGGTGTGGGGGTTAAGAGTGCAGGACTAGGAACCAGGCAATCTGGATTCTAGTCCCCGCTTGCCCATGGAGCCTGTCACAGACTCTCAGCCCACCCTACCTGACAGGGTTGTTGTTGTGGGGATAAAACTGAGAGCAGAGGAGGAGAGTGGTGTGAGCCACTTTGGGTTCATAAGAAAAAAGCAGGATATAAATCTTATCAATCAATAACATCCCCCCCAACACACACACACACTGCCAAGAAAACTGCATCCAGGCCCTAAAGCAACCTAGTTTCACCACTGAAATGGAGGTGAATTCAGAGGCACACATGTGAATCCTGGTTTATTTCTCACCTTTGCTGCATCCACTAAGGGTTCCAACATTTGGAGACTTTCCCTCACAGGCTGTTTTCAAATTAAAACCAGTCCTTCTCTTCTTCCTCCCCTAAGGGTGGGGAAAAGAGAGGTACTGGGTTAAATCCAGACTCAGTCATACTTACAGCAGTCCCACTGAAATCAATGAGACAAAGAAATCAAAACTAATTTAAGTCCCATTGATTTGTGTGATTCTACTGTAAGCATGACAATATCTGGTCCACAGTTTTTCCCCTCCTCAGAGAAAAGCAGCTGTGGGGAGATTATCCTTAGGGTTAAAGGCTTATCTTAAACATCCTATGTATCTATTTCTGCCCTTGGGTGCCAAAAAGTGAAACCCAAAAATGACTTGACATCATATTTGCTTGGCCTTTGAGTCTGCTCCTCTTAGTTATATTAGTCTGTAACTTGGATATAAAAAAACGGAATGTGACTGAGGAAAATGTGGTCCTTCTGAAAAGGGCATGGAGCAGAATTCATTCCCACAGATTGATTCATTTCTCTGCTTCTCTGTCATTATTTCTCAGATTGCTCAGCAGCCAGAGGTGACAATTCTCCAGCAGATCCCGTCCCCTCTTCCGCCGTCGACTAGAACAGGCAGCATCAGAGAAGGTAGAAAACCCATCAAATGAAAGCCACAACTGCGATTAGCCAGTGTGCTTTAAAATCCTGCATTGAAAACTGAAATTGGGGTGGAGGTCAGAAAAGACAGAACTGAACATAAACTGTTCACATTCTAAATCAGGGTTTATTCCAAACTAAACGGCCAAAATAAATGCCCCCATCTGCAGGGGGGGGGGCACTCAGTCCTTAAAATTGCAATGTAAGTATTGGCTAAAGCTTGGCTAGCCCTAAATGTAAACAGTCAAAGCTCAGTTTACAAACCTCTGTCCTCCTCACGCGCACACATATACAAATGCTACACATGGACACACAGATTCTGAACGTGAATACAAATTTTCAGGGTGTTTGCATTCATGCTGCTTAAATCACCTCCTCATTGCACTAATATGTTAATAAGCGATATGTTCTAATGCCCCTGAGAGAACAAAGAAAGGGAGGTATTTTTTATGCAGATAAGCATTCCTACCAGTGTATTTTTTACCATTTTTATTACAAAACATTTGAAACTAAAATTACTTTAAGCCTACGTGTCAAATGGCTGTAACAAACCATGTTTTTAAAATGTTTAATTTGGGAATCTCAACATTTTGCAAGTCCCAAGGAAATTTTGCTTCTAGAATTCTGGAATGTTTGCTTCATTTAATCTTCTACATTTAATTTACTTGTTCAAAGGTACGACCCTCTGTGCATCCTGGAACCAAAAGATTCAGTCCAGGCTAGTAATTAATATTGCTCATTTCCACGGTGCTTTATTTTTTGCAAAACTGTTTTACAGACTTATAAAGCCTTTTGGCTAATGGGGCAGGGTGTAAATCCAATAAATAAATAAAGCGCAGTTCTTTCTGTGTCTACATGCCTGACATAATGAAGCTGTCTTTTTCACTGCTAAAAAATACGAGTGTTGTCATCTTCACTTGTTGCCTTATCAGACTCTGGGAATTTAAATGGCACCTTCATGCAGTGGGTTGTAAGGTCTTTCAGTGCCACCATGCTAAGTCTGCACACTGGGATGCCCACTGAAATCAACGGCTTTGCCTTCTCAGCAACATGCTTAGGTCTGCAATGCATTTACCAAGTTTGGCATCAGCACCTGGCATTCTGCCAGTCCACCAGCAGCGTGGACCAACCCAGGTGCATTCCATGGCCACCCCAGAAGCCACCATTTAAATTCCCACAGTGCTCCAGAATGACACCATGTTGTGTCCTTCGGGGAAGTTAAAATAGCAGGTCAAGTGTTGGAGATCTCTGCATCACATTCAAACAAATCTGGATGTCTGTGAATCTGACCTGCATATTCCTCAGCAAACCACCGTTTTCTGAGTCACGGAGATTCCATGGAGTTGCAAACGAGTTTTTCACTTGGTGGGTGGGGACTTGTGTTAATCTGCAAGAGGACACATTAGTGTGAATAGAATGACATTCTAGTTTAAAAAATCCCATTCCATCAATGAGCAGATGATGGAATTAAAGTTGCCTGACAAGCAAAGAAATGCAGATGGAGCAGATTTAACCAGATCCCTACATCCCTGTTCATTCTTGGACACCCAGTAGAAGCAGCGGAGACAAGATACAAATAGCAAGGACAGAACATTGGATTGCGCTGAAATGTTTCCTCGGGGAAGCACAGGTGACCATCTCCTCCCCAGGCATCCACTTTCTTATGCTATTCTTCCCGTGTCTTCTTGTTTAAAATTTGATTGGCGTTGCTGTTTGTCCATCTTGGTTAGAACTCGCTCAGGCAGCCTCTGAAGCTACTGCAGGTCTTCCCTCTTCAGTGCTAGCCATTCGTCTGATTCTTGCAGTCTTCCCTCCTGGCAGATCTGATGGAACTGATGATGATACAGAATGCCCAGATGCACCAGGTGATCATGAACAGCTTGGCCATGTCGGCGGTGGCCCACTTCGAGCACAGCCCAGACCAGGTAGAGAACTAGCGCTTGCACCATCATGCACACAGTTCTGTTAAAACTATTGATACGATTGCTAGCTGATGAATTCCCAGGCAATGATCACAGCCTGCTTGTAATTGAGGCATGATTTATTAACACAATCCAACTCAGCAGCAGCAGGAGAGGCAAAGACTTGGGTAAAGTACTCCCTTCTCCTTCAGCTGTCGGAGACTGTACTGAAGGAGCTGAGAGGGACGGCAAGGCCTGTGAAGAGACTTGATTTTCTCCTCTTCCCTCCGCATGTTTTTCCTCGTGTGTTGTGTCTTTTAAGACTGTAAGCATGACAGCAGAGACTGTCTTGTTTGACTGATTTGGTTGAGGAGCGGGACTAAATTATGGAGGGAAGGTGGGAGAGAAGGCTGTGGCAGGATGCCACATCGTATATTTCTTTAATTAAATATTAGGAGAGAGGAAAAAGAACTCGAGATGGCAACAGGCTGCCATTTTGGGTGGCAACACTATGAAATCTGGCTTGAAAGTTGTTCTGTGAATGTATTTCTTAATTTCTTTTTGTGTGTGACCTTTGCATGCCACCTTTTTCCCTCCATGGAACCCAAGGTGGCTCACATCCTCCTCTTCTTCTGCATTTTATCCTCACAACAACCCTGTGAGGTAGGTTAGGCTGAGAGCCTGTGACTGACCCAAAGTCACTCAGTGGCCTTCATGGCAGCGGGGATTAGAACCCCGGTCTCCCAAGTCCCAGACCAGTACTCTGCCCCCGCTGCCACCCAGCTGAGGGATACGGAGGCATCCCTGTCGCACTCTGTTCTTGCTGTTCTTCTGACATATAAAAGGCTACACTAACCTGATGAACTTTCCTAATGCTAAAAGTGAACAGCGACAAGGATGGACCGAGTGTGGGCATCGTAGGTGAAGCACAGTGAACACTCCCAAGTATTATAAGATTAGAAAGCTTGTTGCTCCAGTTACAGCTTTTAAGACCTGCATTATTAATGCCATTGTTTGTAGAGTTTATTAGTATAAGAGGGAAAAGATGCTAACTGCTTCTTTGTCCTCCTTTTTCTAAATGATCCCCTTCTTTACCGTCCCCCACACACATATCCTCGCTGCCCCAGATGCACCAATTAAATTGTGCTTGGAAGAACTGGAACCAAACTACAAATGATGGGCAGTTCTATGATTCTTCCTCACAAAAATGTAAAACCCGCAACAGTTGTTGGAGACTGAAACTGGGGACAGAAGACAGGCAGAGAGGAGAGGCTACTTAATCGTTGCTTCCATGTTATTTCCTCAGGGGGGCAGCTTAGATTCTAGGTTTAAAATCCTTTAGTGCACCCTTTCTTTAGGTGATAATGTGTATTACTTCACTCAGCTCCAAAGATGGGAAGATAACCCACTTGCCTTAGGGGGTGCCCTCCTGCATGGATCCTGGACATCTGCCCCAAAGTCCTGCCCTGATGGCACCGCTATGCTCAGTTCCACCCCCAACTGCTTCTCTCCCAGGGGTACCGTTGGAAGGGGTACCCCGGGAGAGAAGGAGGACAAGATGTCCAGTGGGCATTTCCCAGGGCTTTAATCCTCTGATCCTTGCAGGTGCCCAGCGGCCTTTGGCAAGTGGAAGAAGAGGAAGGGGACGACCCAGCACCCCTTGTGTTCCACCATCACTATGCCCCCTACCCAAGCACCCCCCCACTCATGCCGTGGCAGCCCCCACACCGACCTTTGGCTTGGCCACAGCAACACCCAGCCATTCGCCACGTGGGACCCGACCTCGGGAGACGAAGCAGGTGAGTGTTCTGGAAAGGGGGAAAGCACAACCAACGAGGGTGAGGAGAGCATCCCATGCTGATGTTCAGAGTTGTGTTGCGACCAGGAGGCCACACGTGAATGTGGAAATATGATGTTTGCACCAGTGGTGAGACGGCGGCAGCTCTGGGCAAGAATTGCAACGGGCTGCAATGTGGGTTTGCACTAGAATGGTTAGCAGGTGACCAAGAAAAGAGCAGTCTGTGACGGGGGAGATGAAAGGTGGTTGGGAAGATCAGCCACCACCATCTGCAGTGGTGGCCCCGCTTTGGGGTATCCCCAGACCCCACATTTCAATTTTGGGGTCAGGGAGAGCCAAGTCCTAATGTCTGAATAAATGCTGCGTGTCTGAATGGCTGTCCTGGACACTTTATTCCACCCTCTCAAATCCCAGGGAAGGATAAACAGCTATGCATTATAAGAGACAGTGTGGTGTAATGGTTAAGAACGCAGAACTGGGACTCAGGAGATCTGGGTTCTTATCCCCGCTTGGCCATGGAGCCAGCTGGGTGTCTTTGGGGCAGTCACAGACTCTCAGCCCAACCTCCCTCACAGGGTTGTTGTGGGGGGGATAAGATGGAGAATCATGTAAGTCGCCCTGAGTTCCTTGAAAGGAAAAAAGGTGGGATATAAACGTAACAGACCAATAAATAAAATTAAATTAATGCAGAGCTCTGAAATCCCAGTATTGGAAGGCCACCTTAGACCTTCTTCCTTTGTCAGGCAATATGCTGATTACATGCTGATCTCTATAGCTATAACAGGAAGGCTAGCAATCTGACTTTTAAGAAGAAACCAGAAAAGCTGATTTTTCTGGGATGTGGGGTTCTGCGCTAGAGAAGCAGTTGCACAGCCCTGCACACAGGTGCAAGATGGTTCCTGAGTTGCCAGTGAAGACTTCCTCTTCTCCCCGCTGCTGTTTTGCTAACACTCCATCTTGACTTGTCCCAGTAGACAAGTGGTTCCTCCACCCCCACCACCAAGCGCTACTGGAACTGTGACGGCTGACATCCCACCAGCTTCAGGTAAGGGTGGACGGAGCAGCATTGGAGGGGGTCTTTCCAACCCCCAGGCAAGCCCACGTTTCTCACCCAAGCCGTCCTGTGCAAGCAGACTTCTGGGATTTCTCTTGCACCAGCGTTAGCACAAGGACACCGTCACCATCTACCTCAGTCCCCTATTATTTCCCACATCCTTTTAGTCTACACCTCAACAGGGGCTCCCTTCCTGCTTCTGTGGGTACCCATTATCCACAGGGTGAGAAGACATGGGGAAGCACTTCCTTCCTTCCATGAGATTGTGCTGGGAACGTATGGGTGACGTGGAAGGAAACAGGCACTCTTGCAGCAAGCAGTGTATCTGCCAAATCCCCGTAATTCATTGCTCTCTTATCATTTGGCCTCCCAGTTAAAAGCAATAGTCTAGCTGGCCCCACTGTGTCTCTTCTGCCCTTCTCACCTGATGGACATTACAAACCAGGGTTGTGAAGAGGTTCCCATATCCAGGAGAACTTTCCTGGTTATTAAGGACCATTTTTTAAGATGCTGCCCACTCTCTGTCATTCTGTGCTTGATGCTCTGACATAAACAGTTTCTCCATTTCTCCTTCCAGAATATTATGACTTCACCCAGGGACAAGGGTGAGAGGAAGGTTAGACTCCATCAGGCTCCCAGCTGCTACCTTTCAGCACTAGACACTGACCAAGCAAAAATGGAGCATGACAAAGCACGAATTATTTCGTTCCCCCCCTTGGATCAAGATTTTCAAAAGGAAGCTGCCTTGTGCACAACAAAAGATAGGAATAAACTTCATTGCAGTTTGGGATTTCCACAAAATCACTGGCTCCCCTGGCCAGAGTTGCCTGTACTTCTCAAATGCCATGGTGCTTCTGTTTGTTCCTGGCTTTTGCACCTGATCATGCCAGACAAAGTCAGAATGGATTACCTGCAAAAGCAAGACTGCCCTCCCATATCGTTCTACGTTTTGTCCTGGGGCTAGAGTTTTCACAGAAGTTTGCAAGCAAAGCTATTGATGACAAGGCGCTGGCAAAAGCTGAATTCTGAATCCCGCCCCTTTACTCAAGCCTCAGGGAGCATCCTAGTCCAACAGCCCTGGGCTATAGATCTTCGGTCACTTAGCACATAATTCTAGGCATATTTAAACAGAAAAAAGTCCTGCAGCACCTAGCATTTTCCCAGTCAGCCATTCCACAGTTGGGGAATCCTTGGAGTTACAGGGCTGTTCTTTCTCTGAACAAGCACAGCATTTTAGCTTTAATAAATTAGAAATTCCTGCCTGCTGTGCCACCAAAAGCAAATATGTTAACTGAGATGAAACATTCTCCTTTTTTTTCCTTTTATTGTCATTCTATATTATATTTACTTTATGGGTTACTTACTTTATGGGTTACTTAAAGCTGCATTGCGATGGGAACACTATTCCTGTTGCATTTCTGCCTGTCATATAACCACCATCACAGGAGCACTGCCAGAAGAAGAGTTGCCTATATTTATTTTCTCTTAGCCCCCATATGGCTCAAAGGACATGCCGCCCCGATAGAATGTCACAAACAAACAAAAAATATTTCTATACACCATTCACCATATTCTGTTGAAGGAGGGTTACTTAAATAAGCTACCCAAACAATAAAACCACAGGAAAAAGGAAACTAGTGGACAAAACAAAGCCATTGGCAACGTTTCTTTAAAAGCCCAGGAAAAGAAAAAACTGAGGAGGCTAGTGGGGCGCTACAGAGAATAAGCCCTACAACTCCCAGCTGGGGAATACTTGGAGTTCTGTCTGCATAATATATGATTTTCACTTGTAGGGAGGGTGTTCTAAAGATGAGGCACCACAGGTTTTTTTCCTTGTCTATTTTACTTCCATCAACCAGGGATCAAAGAGAAGGACTTTGGCTAGTACTTCAGGCTTATGTTCATTTTCTTTGCAGAAGTATTACCATATCCTTCACTGGTTTGCCTTTCTGTATATTCCTCTACACTACACAAGGTGAGGCTGTAGTATAAAGAGGAATTGCAAAAGGAAGCCCAAGCCCCAAAACAAACACAAACACTCCAGGCTTCTGCAGCAAATGATGGCAGCATCAGAAAAACTTTTTTCTGATCAGAAAATCAGTGACTTTCCTCACTCAAAAACAAAGAAACAAAAAACCAGCCCGGAAATGTCTGGAAATCTTGGGAGAGACCCTCGCAACTGACAGTATATGAGAAGGTCCACTGACTTCCACCTGTGAGGGATCACAAGCAGTGTAGAGAAGCCCTTTGGGAGTGCGGTCATGGCGGCACAGACGGAGGGGTCCTGTGGCAAATCCATGCACTCGCTTCTTGCTTTTGCAGCTACTGCTGGTCCCAAGCTTCAGCCCAGTATTTTCCAGCAATTGGCGAAGGGATGAAAAGAAAGTGTCCCCCCAGCAATGGTGGAGTTCTTGAGAAATACCGGGGCTTTGGTTCATTGTAGCCTTAAATGAAGTGCCTAGGGTGCCTGTGTATAATTTTTCAGGTCATTCTTGTGGTTACTCACAGCTCCTGTGAGGCTCTTGGCACCTTCCAGTCCCGTTTTTCTGGGGGTTGGCCAGAAAGCCCATGGGAATGGCACATGCAGGCATCCCAGCCCAACCTCAGGAGACTCAGCCAGGAGTGCTTATTTTAAAAAGTGAGAAATAATAAAATACCCTTGGCCATGGCATCTAAAACCAAGATGAGCCAGCCTCCTCCAAAACTTCACCAGAATTTCCACTGCTCCTCCACAAGAAGCATCCCAGAATTCCATTTACGGCACCCCACCCAACCAGAGCAAGATTTCCATTGCCCTTTTGATATGTAACAGGTAACCAGCAGTCAACTTTTCCAACCCAGAACCTACCTCTGACCAAACACACTCTAGCAGAATCACTTTTTAAATGTCTTGCTCTTTATATTGGTTCTGTGACCCGCCTTGGATCGGGCTGCAGCTCAGTCATGGGCTGCAATCCACCAATGAGGTGTATCATGAAACAAAGAGAGCAGTGATGCCAAAAGCATCTGGCCAGCAGAGATCACTTAAAATCCAGTAGGGAATGAGAAAAGAAGGGAGAAACAACTCTGATTCATACCCTTATTATCTTCTCTGAAACAAGAATTGCCAACAGATCAGATTTTGCTACTGAATCAACTTTATCTGACACCTGGCGGCTCTACAAATTTTCAACAAGGTGTAATTAAAACTGTGCACATTTTCACTTGAAACTAAAAGAAGCATTGTATATGTTTACTATGTTGTGCACCTATCCTCTTTCTTTCCCTGAAAAAGCCTTGGAGAAATAAGGGGAAGTAAATTAGCCACTGGCTGTCAAAGGGAGCCAAATTTGACCCTGCAAGCTGCCTGTTGCCAAAACCTTGAAGGCAGAGCAATCTATTCTTGTTCTGAGAGAGCTCCAGTGTAGGGACCTTCAGGCTATCCAGTGTCCTGCCAGGCTCGGGATGGTGGGGTGGAAGTGAGGAAGGTGCTGTATTTTGCTGTTTTCCTTCCTTCCTCCCCATCTGGGGTTTTGCTTTCCTTTCCAGAGTCCTCCCCGTGAAACCAGAGGGACAGAATCTACACTACCTCCAGGTTGGGGGAAGTGCCCATCCACTTAGTGGACATGCCCAGGCCTCCAGAAAGCCCCCCCCCCCCCACCGCCAGTGCACTTCCTTTTCCGTCTCTGTAATAACAGGGTTCTGTAACTGAAGAGCAGGAGATGGGATCCAAGGTGGCATTTCTCCCCTGAAGGCAAACCTCTCTTTCTGCAGCTGGAGCAGGAGATCAGTCTTGCCGCCCATTCAAAGGGAGCACAGAACGGTGGCCTAAGACTCTTGCTACATCCCGCTTCACCAGTTTTAAGGTGAAGCAGATATGGGTGGTTTTTTCCAAAGCACTAAACTGGATTGGAGACTGACACTTCTCTGATTATACAGATAAATGGCAGAAGACTGAGAGAGCATCCTTTC